GCGATAAAATATTATTTAAAAAAAGGAATTCAACGATTAATATTTACATTTCCAGTCTTTTCTAATAACATCTGCGTTTCTTTGTACGAATAAGTACATACGTACGCATATAGTATCAAACAATGCATACTTCTATTATAATATATTATAAGTCTTTGTCATATAAAAATGTTACTTATCAATTTTTATTTTCAATTATTATTATAAGACGATAATAATCAGGAATTGTAATTGTATTAGATAATTACTTAATAACAATCATATGATTTTCGTGCATTTTGTAAAATGATACACAGACGTCATTGTGTCGATATCGTAAGTACGTATGTCAAGTTAATGTCAAATATTTTCACATATTGACTAATTTGTGCTTGTGAAATATATTACGAGTAGTTATGATTATATCACATTTTTGCTTGTGTTGATTCCCGATTTCTTTACCGTTGCACTTTTTCCTGCTTTTACTGACGACTTATGCTTTTATTAATATACGGACTCGATCTCGCCTACTTATTGACTTACTGCTAATTACTACGGACATTCTGATATTTGCATCCACGATGTTAAGGTGCACTAATTGTTACTTTTGCGTCGATAGGATGCAGGGGCATTTTGTGTCCTCATTTTGATGTACAATCTTAACTCTTCTATAAATATGGAGATATTTGCAACAGACATATTTAGTTTTATAGCTTTTATGTATAGTTGATAATTTATGGTCCTGCCGTTGTCGTAAAATTATTTACTTATCTGTAAATATTTACCTTCTTCAGACACATGTCATAATAATATGTATCTTGAAAAATAATTTTGTAAATAATATATCACGTTTACATGACTAGGAGTTAGATTTTATGAAAAACAGGTGCTCCTAGTCTTATATTGTGTAAGGACCTTTTATATCCTATACAAGAGAACCCTTTTTCCAATGTTACTGATCATTATATTATTATGCTCCTTAAATTCTTATTTATTATATATATCATTAGCGTCTGACAATTTATATATTGAAATTACAATGAACTGCAACGAATGCTGTCCTGAAACATAAGGTAAACGTAATTATTAAAGCCCAGTTTAAAAAAAAATCGCAAGTTCTAGAGACTTCAAATTATATAATTAGGATGAAGTAATAAAGTAGAAAAAAAAATGTTGCATACGGCATTCGTGTACACCTCACTTTTGAGTGGGGCAAAGTCCTATAGAGAATCTGGCATTCTCCTTTAAGTAGATTTCATAGTGACCTTTTCACGATATATTTTAAATTATACAACGATTTTACTAAATTTCGCATTATTTGATTAAGTTTTTGTTGTAAGATGTCAGATTAAGCTTCCATAAACTTTCATTGATTTAAATAAGTATTACGAACCGGACTAATAAAAATATTTGATGTATTAGGTACACGTAGTACGTACTGTATTTTTTACGTGGTATAGCCACGCTACATCTATATTATCCTATATTATGGTTGTAGCATGAATGGGTTGGCTCGACAAGGGAAGGATCACGTTGTCTCAAATAGCAGTTTGATGCTGCTGTTTCGTATGGTTAGTGTAGAGAACTGGAGACCCTTTTTACTGGATACCAGGCCTATTTTCAGCAGTGTACATGTGTAGGGAATGATGATGATAACGATGTGTAATCGCCGTGCAAAAGAAACGACTACTCCCTTTTATAGCGTGGGTGTCGTAAGAGGCGACAGAGAAATCAAAGGGGAGGCTTGTATTCAGCAGTGGGCTTTATTCAAAGGCTGTAATAGATAGATGGATGGATATCGACCCGTGGGTTTCGTAAAAGGTGACAGAAGGAAACTCCAGGAGATGGGCAGCAACGTATGTATTCTTAATTTCAACTAGATAATAAAGAATTGCGTTTATCAACCCCCTGTCATGCATGGCAACTATTTCAAATATCCCAATGGGACCACGTTATATGTAGCAATATCATAAGGCAATAAACATATATATTGCCTTATGATTAACAGTAGACTTAGATACTACGTCTACACTATCGTGATATGGCAATAATTATGGCTATAATTGAAACAACACCTAGGTGCAGCCACGATTTATGGCCATAATTTTACAATATCAAATAGCTCAGATGGCGGCTTTTTTCGCATATTAAAGACGATTACCGCGGAATTTTTTGCGTCAAGTGGCAACACTAAAGTTTGTTCAGTTTGCGACATGAGCATTTTTTCCACGCTACTTCATGCGGTAATTTAGGTAGTAATTTAATGCCTAAAAGTATAGTAACTGTTGCGGTAAACTGATGGTAGAGGGTACGGTAGTGTGTCTGTAGCATTATAGGCTGTAATTGGCTGTGACGAATGCATGAGAAATAACGATGCTTGGCACAGGTAAAATGTACTAATTCTACGACTCCATAAACAAAAAAAACTGTGAAACTCAGTGTTGCTATACCAATAGTAATTTTCATGATCTACCGTATTTTGATAATAAAAATAATACATTATCAATACTTAAATCGTGGTAGAGCCATGCTGCAGCTATATTATGGTTGTAGCACGAATGGGTCGGCCCGAACGGGGAAGGACCACGCTCTCACAGAAAACCAGCGTAAAATAGCAGCTTAACGCTGCTGTGTTTCGTATGGTGAGTGTATAGAACCGGAGACCCTTTTTACTGGCAAAGAGGCATTCCATCTTAGTCCTCACGGGTGACAACGCATCTGCATCTTGAGTCTTTATTGAGGATAGATGTAGATGTCTATGGGTCACAGTAACCACTTACCATCAGGTGGACTGTGTGCTCGTTTGTCACCCGATCCTATAAAAAAAAAAAATAATTAAGCTTATTGTAGTATTCAACTTATATGTTTCATACGTATTTATGAATCCCAACCAGACCAGAACACTCTAAAATACTAATTAATAATTTATAATTTATCACTTATTGTTTAATATTTACAAAGACAATTTAAATAACACATCTTTTAATATTCTATTATAGCATTCGAAGGAATGCACTCCTTTCAAACACTAAAATTTCCCTTACAATAACGTTAATACCATAGATTTAGTATATACTTATGTTAGATTGGGAATGTAAAAGAGAAAGAGCATAGCATAAGCTTACGTTAGAACGAAATAGAATGGCTAGACACACGTACACGCTATAGACCCATATCGGGCTTACGTAATCGTTAACGAAACAAATCCAGCTTATTTTCGCGATATATTTAATGTTAAATAATTAAGAAGCGTTTAAAGGTGTGATTAAATATAGTGACACGTGCAATACCTAAATGCAGTTCATCGAGAAAAGAAAATCCACAAAAGTACATTACTGAAACATGTTATATAAGGTTTTATAACATGAAAGGCATATTTTAGACGCAGCTTTTTGTAACATCGTAATTTATTAATTTTCTATTTTTAATATTTAGGGTTTCGTATCCAAATGGCATTATAGTAAATACTTTAATAAGATAATTTAAACTCTTATAATGTTTCAGATTTCCAAAACATTATGAGGTTAAACAAAAATAGTTAAAATTGATAAATAGAGAAGACTAGGTTCCCAAATTATATTCAAGTAGTAAACACTTAGAACAAAAATGTTTTTTCTTCATAGAAGTAGACATATGTTTATTTCATTTACGCATGTTAGAATGTGTACAACTTGTTGTCGTTATCCTTACGATGTATATTTTTTTATAAAACGAAAGTAACAAACTTATAGTATCACTTAAAGGTAAACGGCTACTGCCGTAATTGGTAACCTAGAGACAGCTTCAAACAAAGAAAGCTACAAATGTGTTTTCACCCCTGAGGACTAAGATAAAATGCCTTACAGCTTATAATTATACAGGCTCTCTATACACAACAGGCCGGAACGTGACAGTGTAAATACTGCTGTTTATTTCTGTTTATCCCTCTCAAGACGTTTATGTTATAGGTGTTAATTCTGAACGAGTTTTCTGAAAACATATGAAAGAAAAAATTGAAAACGAAAATATGTTTCGAAAATTAGTAAATGAATGCCTTGTGTCCTGCAAAAAATGTTTTAACATACTTGACATACATATGTATGTATGATTCGACAGCAATATTAAACCATAAACATTTAATTATTGAATATCGAATGACCACACTCGTTGAATGACTTAAGCGGAATCTCTCGCGCACGGCACCTACAGTGAACTTTATACTACCGACATAAGAGGGGGTTTCTCGATATACCCTCCATTCTACCTGGATCCAACCGGGTATTTTATAGACACTCCGACAAATATATAATCGAAACTTATTTGATTATTAGATTGAAGTATGAAGCAAAATCGCAAAATACCCTAAGGAGAGCTTACGACATTTTTACAATAAATTAATTATTTTTGGTGGAAAATAAAAGTCACATACTTTTTGTTTGTAGTTTGATTTTATTTAAATCACTCTATCGCCAATCTAATGTATACTATATCCGTGGTTAATACAGTAAATGGAAAATCTGTTGATGGAAAATGTTGAGGCGAAAATGGCAGCACTGGTGACATTTGACTTGAGGAGTTTTGGCGGGAACTTGACCGGCGGTGGTTTGCTGCTCCTGTATTATAGTTTAAATAATAGTTTGAAGTGGATGTTGATATGTAAAAGTGGTGCGATTTTATGTATTAACTATCTAAGCATGTGAACTATTAGTGGAAACGGTGAAACAAGTGCTCTGATGGTGATGGATTCTCAAGATAAGCTGTTTATCTACATAGGCGCCTTTAGATACCATCGCTAACTGTCAGCTGTCTGCTGGCTCAAGTTGCCGTCAAAATCTCCCAAGGGCTGCACAATATGACGCATCAACATATTGTGAAGCAGTGAACTCTGGAGGATAATTATGCATTTGGGGAAATTATAATAAACCGAATAAAAATACTCAATACTTGGCCTAAAGGTCTAGATACCAGGCCATAACCTCTAAAAAAAAACTTTTGACTGACAGATGACAGATGTAAATTGTAAAATGTAAATATAATTATGATTTTTGTTTGTTGACTTTGTTGTGGGATGATTAAAAATTAAACAAATAAACGTTTCTGTGTATTTTTGTACTTTTATGCAATAAATCTTCAAAGTGAAAGTTCGACAATACCCGTGAATACTGCCAGAAAATAATTTCGGTTAGTATACAAATTTTTATTATCAAAGTGCTCCTCATTCAAAAGTTGTTAGGATATTATTATCGTCGTTGGATTGCGCATGTTAATTTATTTTGTGTTGCAGAAATCTGTTTTAAAATCATTAAAATAAAAAACTACGATAATAGTGACAGGAGGTTAAAGTATTTTTTTCGTTAGTTTCTTAATCGTCTTTTAGAATTGCTGTATTTGTACCAGTGCCCAGTACCATTATATAAATTAGTGTTTTGTTTAATAAGTTATTGAATATGTTGCGGTAAAAATATCCTATTTATGAGTTTGTTTGTTGCTTCTCACTATTCCTTCCGCAGTAGGAAAAAATGGTGTAGCTTTCAAGACTGTGCTTTGTATAGGCCAATTTTGAATTAAAATATTTTTGATTTGACTTAAGACTTTAAGGGAATTAATACTCTTCTGCATTAGTTTGTGTATTGGATTTTATATCTTCATAACCTTCTTTAAGTTAACTCGATTATGCAGATTATTAATATTTTATTTTAAACATATTATGCTTGTAACTGGTTAATATCAAAGAAGAAACAAACTTGGGTACGACTTTCCATTGACTCCCATCGAGTTGGGGGTTGAAACGTATTTTTACAGATAAGTTACACTATTATAAGCACACACACAACGTTACAATATGCGGAAGCGCGTAATTCTTGAGAAAAAAGTTATTGAAAATCAATTATTCTTGCATTGTTTATGTCTAATCCTACAATAAAACTGATGCCATTTTTTATTGTTATTGTCAGGAGGGATATCGATTCTTTCCGAAAATATCGATTTTTTAAATAGATTCGAATTGTAAGCTGATGTATCGTATCCCCAAAAATCGATTTTTAAAATATCTATATTTTTTTCATGTTTGCATTTATAATGTAAATATAAATCCATTTTATGAGAAAAAAGTCCCCTTCAGCATAAATATAGGGGGACTGATTCCGAAGGATTTGCGTATCTATTTTGAGACTGCTACGTCTCCGACGCTGCGGGAAGAGCAGCCTCTACGCCTTAGCATAACAAATCGCAGGCATCGGATGAGGCGAGGCTATGATTTGTTACAGCAGGCGGAGGCTGCTCCCCCTACGCACCTCTGGCTCTTTAAAACCACTCTAGGGGTAGGACAGACTCGTACCAGGTGGAGTCGGGGTCAATCAATTCGGTTCTTTGACATGAGTTGAACCTAACCTATTTTATTTGTTATCTGCCCTAATAGGTACTGTTAAAATAAAACAAAATTCAATAAGAGATCATTTATTATGGTATCTTTCTTGTTTTTCATAAAATGGAATTATATTTACATTATAAATGCAAACATAAAAAAATATAGATATTTTAGAAATCGATTTTTTATGAATTGATACATCAGCTTACGATTTGAATCGATTTAAAAATCGACCTTTTTCGGAAAAGAATCGACATTCCTACTGACGACAATGACATTACAAAATGGCGTCAGTTTTATGGTAGGATTAGATATAAACAATGCAAGAATAATTGATTTTCAATAACTTTTTTCTCAAAAATTACGCGTTTCCGCATGTTGTAACTTTGTGTGTGTGCTTATAATAGTGTAACTTTTCTGTAAAAATATGTATCAAACCCCAACTCGACGGGAGTCAATGGAAAGCTAAGCCAAAACTTGTTTCAATCCATGCTACCACCGAAGAAATTGTTTATTGTGAGGAAATTTGTGTGTCTGAGAAATTAAAAAGAAATATTTTTATGACACATGAAGCTTACCAACATACATTGTGGCAGTGCAGTGGACATTTTTTTTGCCACAAATATACTGTGGTATAGAAGCTACACAATCACTAACATAATAACATTGTAAACTAAGTATAGATCATAGAGTAGTTATTTATAAATGTGATAGTTATGTAAGTGGTGAAAATGAAGCATTATTATTATTACTAACAGACTCACCAACGATTATATTATACTAGCCTTTACCTGCAACTTTGTTCACATAGAAGTTTAACTAAAAACCTACAGATCTACAACAGTTTTAGATTTACCAGAACAATGTTTGTTCAACAAATAAGTGCTATGAAATTAAAGCTTGTTTCACTGATGCGGCACTTATCTTAACATTTTCCAGGGTAGCAGCCTGTTAAGTGGCAGTGAAAACAAATTTTACTAATGTACATTCTTTTTATTAATTGAATTTATTCTAAACACCAAAACCGTTTCCACTCAATAAATGTGAACTGTTGAAACTGAAAAATACTTACTTGACCATATGGATTTACACACAATTTATTACTGCCTTTAAAAATGCACCTTGTTAATATACAATATGGGAAAATGTTTAAAGTCAAAATTGAAGGTCTATTAATTTTACCCCAAAAAGGTCACTTATCCAAAGGCCACATCATTCTCATTTATCGTTTTGTTGTAACATGGTGTTGAAGTACCGTAAAACCAACCAAAACCGACCAACTTTTCTATAAAAATAATATAGATTTCTCTTTTCTTATTCTTCACTTTAGATAGAGATGAATCGTTTGACAACTCATTTGGTAAAATCTGTTTCATATCATGGTATGTTGAAACGTCTATACAAACATACATACAGAGAATGTCAAGCACAAAACCCTTTCTTAGCATCACCGTAATCAGGGTAAAATATAGGTTGAAATTGACGACCCTTGGCAATGTAACCGTCAAATTGTGGCATCAGAAGTGTGGATAACTTTACCAAAGCAGGTTTATATATAAATTATTTATATTAAATGTTAAGACCATCATATTAAAAAAGAAATATTACATTTTCTAACAATTAATTATTACGTTTTTACAAAGATTTAGATACCTACATTCTAAATATCAAACAAAATCAACGAAAGTTGTGGATCTTAGAACAAGGAGGTTACGTCGTCAGCGCAATTCCGAGTTAAAATAAAATACCAAAATTAACTATTATGTTGCCATATTGGAAACAATGCTGTCAGTTATTAAAATTTCATCCAAAAAGTGACATATCTCGAAAAACATTTCGTTGTCCGTGTTAGTCGTAATTTTGTACCTGCACATTCATGATGGAAAAGTTAACTTCTATTGGTAAAGTCGAAAGATTTGACTGTAAAGAAAATCTTAAAAATAGATTTTGTACCAAAACTTTAAGACAGAAGGCAAAGTGTAATGACCTTTTCTTATTCAAAGTTGCAAGCTAAAAAATAGTTCGAATTTTGTTTACATCTCCTAACTTTATGAGATAATCATCAAAAGCATTTATTTTATCAGATTTCTTATATTTACGCGAACACTACACATTTAAATGAAACTAATTTTACGGATTTTATCGCGTATATTAACTTATTTTACATTCCCGACGTTTCAAGCACTTTACAGCACCCATGGTCACGGGGGGGACTGAGGTGTATGACGTCCCAATGTCATAGTTAACCACGGCTACCTCCAGATTAAAAATTATTAATTTTTGTTCCGATCTATGCAGTATGAACTTACAGTATCATGAAGTCTTGCAGTTGTATGGTTGGGTTGGGATTTAATTTTATTAATTATGGGATCCCAAGCAGATGGTAGCACCCAGCCATCTTCTCTATTGAAATTAGGATGTTTTTTGATTTCAATAGCCTCGCGAATCATTCTTGGAAGGAATCGGTGTTCTTTAGCGAGGATTTGTGGTCTATCAAATCTAATGTAGTGACGGGGGCGATCCTGTACATGTTCACAGACTGCAGACTTCCCGGAGCGTCTATTCTTCACATCAGCTATGTGTTCTTTAACGCGGGTTTTTATGGATCTTTTAGTTTGTCCTATATAAGAGAGACCACATTCACAATCCAGCTTGTACACTCCTGCATCTTGCAGAGGAATATTACACTTGACTGATGGTAAAAACTGACTAATCTTCTTCGGCGGCTTGAAATATGTTTTAATGGAAGCACGCTTCAAGATGTAGCCAATCTTGTCAGTGACACCTCTGACATATGGCAGTACAGCAGGCACTCGCTCGACCGTGGCCGGCTTCACTCGTTCACTGTGACGTAGGCGCGGGACCCGAAGCTTATTGTCGTGCAAAACTTGCTTGACGTGTTGGAGCTCAGCGGCCAGGTGTTTACTGTCACAGATCTCTCGTGCTCTCTGAAACAAAGATTTACCCACGGTAGCTAACTGTGAAGGATGGTGGTGAGAATCACCGTTTAAATATCTATCTGTATGGGTCTTTTTTCTATTGATTGGATTTTCTATTTATTGGCGGATTGATAATATTTGACGGCTCCGTGGCGCAGTGGCTTAGCAATCAGTTGTTACGCTGGGGGCCGCGGGTTCGTATCCCGCACGGAACAAGTATTTGTATGGCCTACAAATAATTGTTCCGGGTCTGGATGTTTGTCCTTGTGCAATTTATGTTCGTAAACTGCCTCCACGACACAGGAGAAAATCCTAGTGTGGGGGTAACGTTTTTTAAAAGATAAAAAGATAGATAACAGCCCCCGCCGGCTACTCACCTCCGCAGCTTCGGCTTATTAGCTTGAGCGCTATGGTTCGCACATATTCCTGCGACGGCGGCTGTGAGGTTGCGGAAATAACTGTGTCAATATTCCTGTGTAAAAAGTGAGGTTATGACTTTACAAGATTTTCAGAACACCTGATTTTTTTTTAATTAGGGGCGCCTTGTCTATATGCCTATACTTGAAGCACTTAATTTGCACTTAATTCTTTGCTATTAATACTTATCGTATAATATCTATTATCGTCATCGTCACTGCGTTGTTAGCGATACGTTTTGCCAGCAACGCAAATTTCAACAGTTCGTTGCGGTGAAAATTTTAAATCACCTAATTTTTAAACTTGGCACCTAATTAGCACCTAAAATGCCCCTAATTTTCGCTTTTTCTAAATGCAAATTCTTGACTTTGCGTTGCTGGCGAAACACAATTCACTCCTGGCATTGCTTTACTATCTGTTCATGAAGTTTCATAACAATCGGTCCAGTCATTTTAAAA